CCACACTAGCCACGGATATGTTAACTCAAACATCCTACACGATGAACTCCTTTATGCAATCAACCGAACTCATACTTAACTCTAACATTCAAGCCCTAGCTAGATTAGAAACCCATATTGATCAACTAGCTAGTGCCATAAGTGAAGTAGAGGAAGGAGAAATTCTGAGTCAACCTGTGGTCAATCCTAAGGACACTCAAATGAATGCACTACAGTCAGGAAAACAGGTCGATAATCAGGAAAGAACACCTTTAAGACAAATTCTTGTTCTAATTCATTCTTCTCCTGATAATTGTTTGCGGAGAAAGTTGCTTGTTTCATTGCGAGATTCATTACAAACTTCAGACGTTTACAACGAATACAAAAATCAGTCTTTTTATAAGACTTTTACACAATGAAAACAAAAAAAATTTTACAACTTTATCAAACAAACACAGAGATCGTTTATTGGTCTTCTGCTTGCATGGGATCTTTGCCTGTGCCGGGGTTTATTCGTGGACCACCGTCGATCAGATCTGATTGCTGAAAAATTGGGCAGAGCTTCGTCTAGTTGTTAAAAAAGAAAAAAAAGAAAAAAGAGAAAAAAAAACAAGAAAAGAATAAATGTTTGATTTCCTCCTCCTCAGACCAAAGGTAATTGCAGATTTTTATCAGCGAACCAAATGTAAGTGCTTTACTTCTTATCTGCTTTACTTTATGCATCATAGAGTTTGCATTGAGGACAATGCAAAATTTAGGTGTGGGGGTGGGAATTAGTTATTTTTTTCTCTTTATTTTACAATTTTAGTGCATTTTTGTCATTTTTTTCCTTTTCCTTAAAAAATTAGGTGTGGGGGTGGGAATTAGTTATTTTTTTCTCTTTATTTTATATTTTTAGTGCATTTTTGTCATTTTTTTTTCCTTAAAAAAAATTTATAAAAATATCGTCACTTGCCAAATTGATAGAGTTATGTAATAATTGATTTATTTGATAAATTTGAAATTTTCTAATCTCTAGTTGGTTATTTACTTAAGTTCATCTTTTATGATAACTCTAAATAAATTTATTAAGAAATGATTTTCAAAGTAGTATACTTTACTTAAGCCTTAACTTGGACTTTTATTTAAAATAATGAAATTTTTGCATGCCTAACTTAGAGTTGAAAATAATTTTATATACAAAAAAAAAAAAAGAGGAGTGCGAAAAATGGGCACCAAAAACGAAAAAAAAACTCTTGAATTCAAGGTGATTCTATCTTATAAAGCCTAAGCTGACCGAGTAATTAAGCCCAAGGAGTATTTCCATACTTAATGACCTAAGCCTATTTGGGTGGGGATCCATTGGCCCAAAACTCGTTAAAAGGTCACTTAAAAAACCCGTTAAAGTAGAAAAAAAAATCACCAAGGATGAAAGAGTTTTAAACAAATAAAAAAATAAAAAATAAAAAATAAAAAATTTAATAAATGTTTTATAGTTGTATATATAGTCTTGGAAAATATTTTAAATCAAGCAACTTGAAAATTATTTAAAACAAAAAGTTAGCATGTTCTTTTCAAAACTTTTAAATTAAATTTCTAAGTTTGGCTTGGTTTTGTATTGCTACAATGAGAAGATTTTCTTAAAAATATACCTTAGAGTTATATATAAAAATGTTTTCTTGAGTGATAACTGGCTCCAATTAGATTATCTAAAAGTTATCAGATGAATTTAGTTATTTACTGACTTCTTTAATTTGGCAAGTTGACCGAATTTTGTGGGTATATTCACTGCAAACCCTCACGAGACTATAACTCGTCCACTAGGGTAACCTAGGGGTTTAAAGGCTTGTTGTATACGCTAAATACAACCGCGATTCCTGCGAAAGTGAGTTAGGATTTTTCTTTTTCTTTTTTTTTTCTTTGCTAGAGGACTAGCAAAAGTTTAGGTGTGGGGGGTATTTGATAATCATATTTTATTACAGTTTTATACCCTCATTATCTATTTTATATGAATAAATATACTACTAATAATTGTTTTTATCTTTAATTGCAGGTTAATGAAGAATAAGTCTCAAACTCTCATTTCTCAACAAAAACCAATTGATTAAATGAAGAAATGAAGCAAAAAATCCCATTGGAAAATCAATTTCCAAATTATCCAAAAGCCCAGAATCAAGCCGAGTAGCCTGTAGAAGCCGGAGAAAATCAAAAATCCAATATGAAAAGAAATCATATTCAAAATGGTTGACCACAAAGAAACGACGATATCTCCCAATCCGGAAGGCGGAATTTAACATATAATATATGAAAATCGCCTATCTCGACGAGACGAAGCCAACCGTGAAGTCAGAATTTTTATTAGGGCATCGATGCCAGCATCGGTGCAGGCATCGATGCCGGTATCGATGCGAAGTCCTCCAGATTTCATCAACGGCCGAAATTGCATTCTTGGGGCTCAAGTTTGATCCAATGGCTCTCATTCACTAATGTTTACTATAAATAGGGGTTGAGAGTGAGGGGTTAGAGGTGTGAAAATTTTTGTAACTTCTTTTGGAGAGGAGTGCTACTCTTAATTGATAAGGCCTTCCAAAATTGTAACTTTTTGTTACAATTAATAATAATAATTTTTTCACCACTTTAAATTTTTCTCTTCTTCTCTTTATTGGATGATGAAGATGAAGATGAAGATGGAGAATTATTTGAAGGTTTGCATTTCTTTTCTTTTTCTCTTTATTGCTTATTAGTGTAGATTTATTTCTATGCTTGTAGTTTAGATTTTATTTTCTTGTTAAATAGCCAAGAGGCTAGAACCCTCTTGCCTTAGATTTATTTCATGCTTATAGAGTAGATTTATTTTCTTGCATTTAATTCTTGCAATTTTATTTTGTAGTTTAGATTTTGCACTTTATTTTGTAGTTAGATTTTAATTTCTTATACTATTCACCTTGAGGCTAGAACCCTCTTGGGTTTAGTTTTTCTTTTTGTTTACTTTTATTTTGTTTGATTCGCCTTTAGGCTAGAACCCTCTAGGGAATCACCATTTTCTAAGAAGTGGGTTCAATTTTAGATTATCCATATCTATAATTGAATCCACCATCTTTAATTTCTTGCATTTTCTTTTATTCTAGAATTTTGTTCTTCATTCTTGATTTTTTTTATTTGTTTCTTGATTTTATTCATTTTTCCTTCTCACCTTATTGATCATACTCATTTCAAATCCACTCTCACTTACACTTTGCATCTATTTACATACCATTTTCACCCTCTCAATCTCTTCACAATCACATTCACTTATCACTCCTATTTGTCACGCACACAAAATAAGAACCAATTTTCTATTTTCTCCTACAAAACACCTTCCTCGTGGGATCGATATCTTAAATACTATAACTTGACACGGTTGTGCACTTGCAACCTTTTTGGTACATGTTTATGCCGCATCAGTTAGGATTAGGGTTAGGGTTAGGGTTATATAGGGTTAGGGTTAGGGTTAGGGTTTAGGGGGTTAGGGTTAGGGTTAGGGTTAGGGTTAGGTTTAGGTTTAGGGTTAGGGTTAGGTAGTGGTGTAGCTAGGATTATTTTTTGCCTTGAGCGAAAAATAAAGGAGGTGAGGAATGGAGGTTTGAGTCATCAGTTCAGCTTGCCGAAGACATCGTCGGAGATGGCGTCCATAGAAAAGTTCCTGCAGTTTCAGGATATATTAACTGCTATTGGTTAGAAAGTTAATTAAACTAACTCTTTAATTACTTGCCAATTTATATATCTGACATGCTTAGTAATTTAGGTGAGGAGGACTCGGATCAGTGAACGCATGGGGAAGCTACAAGAACTTGTGCCCATTATGGATAAGGTACTTCGAAAACCACCACAACACCTAACGAACTCTTCTCTGTCTTATTTACATATCTTTAACCGAGCGAACTCGATCATTAATTATGTAGTCTGTTAACTAGATGGCTTAATGGGCAGTGGCGTAGCCGGTTCTTGCCCTGAAGCCTTTACTGGCTACGCCCCTGGGGTTAGGGACGCCATCATCGTCAGATTGACAATGTGTGGGGCATGGAGATCTTGCGACGCTACTCCGAGAGGATGGAAAAGTGTTTGTCTTGTTGGGATTCTCGGGGTTTTGTTGGATGTAGCTAATAATGAGAGAAGGACTGTACCGCAAGAAAACTAAAGAATTAAGGGGACTACAAGCTAACAATGAGATCGGAGGGACTATGTTGCAATTAGAAATGATGAGGGACCTATTCAAACACCCGAACTCGATCATTAATTATGTAGTCTGTTAACTAGATGGCTTAATGGGCAGTGGCGTAGCCGGTTCTTGCCCTGGGCAGCTGCCCAGAGCAAGCCTTTACTGGCTACGCCCCTGCATGGTTTGTGTAATGTTGCAACTTGGCCACCACCTTGTTGAACCAAATAAATTCATAAAGATATGGATGAATTGAGATTTTTCAATTTGGATTGGGGTAAGCAAAAGTTTAATCGAGCTAGGGTCACGCTAGATGACTCCCATTCTAACCCGATCCAAGTCGACCCATATCCAACTAGAACCCGACTGACAGATACAAAATGTATCCAAATTATATATGCACTTTTGAGCATGACATACATGTAAATTAAAGAAAAGGTACTTGGGTTTGAATTATAATGGAGTTTGACGGCCTGTAAGTTTGACTAGACAAAAGATTTGTAATCTTGGTCGCTTCAAATTTTGCGATAAGCATAACGAAGTTAATCTCAACACATAGCCAGTTGACCCACCAAAATCGAACTCCATCTGAGGTCAGGTTTCCTAAGGGTTTAGTGAAGTAGCTTAACAGTATCAGACACAAAAGGCAACCGTTTTGCTTCTGAGAGCCTAAAACCATGTGAAGTTAATTTGTTTGGGCTAGAGATCACCTTACTTCTGTAAGCACGCCAATAGCCTAGGGACGACATGAAACAGGTCATAAGAAAAGCTAGGGAGTGACGAATTTTGCTGAGCTTTCATTTTTATTTTTATGATGTCAAAATTGGATCACAAAGTTCACGAGGGCTGCTAGGAAGTATATGCATTATCCTTCACGCAGAAGCTATGCACCCTCCATTACTTCACAACTGGTTCTGTAACTAACCAAAGATACAACACGCTACTATAAGCTTAATAATAACGTCCTGTTACACCGAACCTCTTCTAATAAATATGGAGAATTAAACAAAGAGGGGGATGCAAAAGCGATAGTAAACTAGGCATACAATTTGTAGAATCTCAACGCCAGCTTCTGAGCATCAGCAAAATGTGATTACCTCAAACTAATCAGAATCAGATTCATTAGAAATTTCTGATTGTCGAACGCTTCGTTTGCTTGTGTCTGAGTTGATTTTGCTTATGGAGGATTCACCATCGTATGAAATAACTTGACACTTTGCGAGCCTCTCCTCCAGATCTTCAGTGCTGAATTCATCAGTACCTCCAAGTTCATCAAATCCCACCTGGAAACATGTTTACTGTAGAAATAAGATCTATACCCAAAAAAAAAACTAATATTTACAAGGTTTTAATCTCATACCACATAATCGTCTACTTTGGCATTCTTTACGAGAGCAAGGGTCGGTAGTACAACTATCCTCAGCTTCTCAGTAAGGAATGGACTTTTCTCAGCATGAACTTTTATAAAGCGTGTCTCTATATGTTGCTTTGCTAGAATACTCAAATGCTTGTCAATTACCTGCAAGAATCCAAATTTGAAACTAGAACTAGAATTCTTGATGCACTTGAAAATGTGATGTCTGCAGAGATATAAAAGCATATGAGCTTAACACGGCAGGCCATCCGCAAAAGCGTGTCATGACACGTTGTATTCTTAGTGGGGATCAAGTAAAGAAAGAATAGAATCTGGGACTTCAGAATAGTGGATATAGAATAGAATCTGGGACTTCAGAATAGTGGATATATACACAGTTCTACATAGGAAATGATGCAAGTACTTTATTCCTGAAAAGAGAGTATTCGACTTACAAATGCTTGAACACATAAAACTGACACCAACTGCCAACATGGAAGTATATTGGTAAAGTATTTCTGCACGGTGCATGCCTAAAAGAACCATTTTAAGCATAGAAAAATTATTCTAGTCAGAATCTAGCGAACAATTGAAATTCATAACCTCCATTTTGTCATGTAAGAGCCAGAAAATAATACTACCAGCATAAATATTTTGCTTGCATAGATACCAATCAATGTGAGAAAAAGATCTTAAAACAACACCTAGAGTATCGATTTTATGATTTGTTATTCAAAGTATAAGATGCCGGAGATATCTGCTTGCACACACTTATTTAATAACCTGGCTTGTCAATCCTACACCTAATTTCCATAATTTTCCATTCAAAACTTCTCTGATATTGGTCACAAGGGGAGGTTGGCTGTTTCCTAATTCATGAGCACGCAATGAAGGACCAAAAGGACCTCCTTACCCAACTACTTTCCTTCAAAGATTATCTAGTTAGACTTTCCTGTCCTTAATTAACCCAGACAAGAATTGCAACTGAGTTTGCCAATCCTTTGCCAAACTTAGTAAATTTTCTTTGTGAATGGCCTTGTTTATGAGTGGAAAAGACCTTGAGCCTAAACAAAAATGAAGACATGATGTAGGATTTTCCACCCAGATGTTTTCTGATATAGCTAGGTGAAGGGGTGTTTGGTTGGTTCCTAATTCCATAAGCATTCATGACTAACAGGACCTCCTTGCCCGACAACTTCCCTTCTAGATCATCCCATTTACCTTTCTTGCCCATAATTATCCAGACAATAGTATGGTAAAAAGTCACAAACAACAGAAGCTCGCATCAGCATGAGAATTGGCCAATCCTTTGCCAAACTTCTTTATTTCCCTCAATAACAAGCCTTGTTTTGGAAAAACCTTGCACGTTAATGAAAATGATGACAGTGGAAATAATGAGGATAGTGGTGACAATAACAGCAACATATCTATAATTATGAAACAAAAGCCATGATATCAGTACTCTTGCTTCATCATTGTATTGAACTCTAGACACTTCTGGGTTATTACAAGTAAATAAAAAAGAAACACAAAAGCGAGTAGGACATACAAAAGACTGTTACAGAGGAATATGACTTGTCTTTTCCAGTTTGATCTATGACAGTGTTTTTGCTTTTAACGAATGCTGGATATAAAAGGGGTGTCTCTTAAACATAGAAAGGATAAAAGTTAAATCATGCCATGTGTTATAATCATTCGCAAACATTCACATAATGCCAATAGCAGAAAAGGGTCTCTAGTAGTCATAGTCTAATTCAAGAGTTTTGCTTCAACTACACACTAGCATTGGACCAGATCAGAAATAGAAATTGAAATTGAAGGCCAAAGTCCATCAGGAAAAAATTATTTACCGAACCAGAAAGGTTCCCTAATTGTCGAGTCTAATTCAAGAATTCTCCTAATAGACACTAGTAGTGGTCCAGATCAGCAATAGAACCAGGCATCAATAATAAGATTTACTAAACACTTGTTCAGAAATGAAGAATTAGAAAATCAGAATATAGATGGAAACATGGGCGCAACAAAAAAGAAGAATGTTATGATGGACTTGCAGAAATACACTAAAAGACAGGACAACCAATGAGTTCATCCATACATAGTTAGAGGACGTCCGTATTGAGGATAAAATGAGCGAAAATTAACTGAGATCGTTTAGTCACGTGTAATAGAGCCACAAAATGCATTTTTTAGAAAAGACGACAATATTATAATCAATGAAGCAAGGGGACTAGAGGAAAGCCCAACAAAACATGATTGGCAGATATTAAGAAGGATATAATAGTGGTTAACTTGCTATAAGAGGTAGCCCTAAGCCAAACCGAATGGAAGAATATGACTCATGTAACCGGCCCCAAAAAATAGATATATTTGTATTTCTTGTTGTTGCGGACGTGAACTGGATATTAGGCAACAAGAGTTTAAAAGTCCAACAATAACAGAGTTATCTTACACATTTAAATTGTAATTGCAGTAAACAAAAGCATGTACTCTGCTACACTATAGAAATGATTAGTAACAGAAGGGCATGGCAGAACATTGAGAGGAAGTGAGAGGGGTGGGTTTGAGGACTGGGGGATGTGGTGAAGGGAGGTATAACTGTGCTTAAACCTGGAGTCTCGGACAAAAAAGTGAAAAACAATGTAAAATTTGTTTCTTTCTTTTCTTCCTTATTAGGTAGGATAAATACCATTGAAAAGGACAAGAATCATCTTGGAGAGAAAGAAAATGGAAAAGAAAAACAAAAACAAAAACAATGTCCCATTTCAACTCATGAAACAAAAAGTTTGAACCTGGATTCAAGTTTAAGAAGCTGCACAAAACCTAGAAGTGACTTTGAAATTACAAACTGCACTGAGTCGAAGAATCAACTGGACCCAGTTTTAGAAAACTAGGATATTTCTGTCAAATTCACACAACGGTTCATTGGGGAATACAGTGAATTTAACCTTCTAAAAACAAGTTCCAAATAAACTAAAAACTCAATCTTTAATTCAAAGGCTTCTAACTGCAACAATTGATTTATTTATCATTTTCTGATGTTTCTACTTTCTAGGCATGGATATGGTTAAACTTCCTGATCTTTTCTCTAGTGATGACAAGGCAAGCATACTAAAATATTTAGTACAGCCACTGACAATGCACAAAAAAAGAGTAAAAAAGGGAAGAGAAATAGTAGGTGAAGGAACATTTTGGGGCTGTTTGGTTGGATGGAAATAGAACTGCAAATGTAAATAGAGCAATCGGATTTGTAGACACATTGTTTGATTTACAACTATGTAATTAGGAAAGGTAAATGGACTTGCATTTTGCAAAAAAAAAAAATGCTACAGCCAGTTTGGTGGAAGGAAAAGCTAAAGGTTAAAATAATGAATTAAAAAACAAAAATAATTCCACCTCAAAATTTTATTATATCTAAATAGGAGAATCATATATACCGAAGTTTCCTTACATGAAAAAATTTTGTAGCTTTTGCATAATTGGTTTTCAACCAAACAATAAACATGCATTTGGAAACACATTTCCTGCAATATAATTGTAGAAAGCCAAACATCAAAATTGAAAGTGATTTCCTATAACCAATGTTGCATGCAATATCTGCTGCAATTTAATTTTGCAGCTGTTAAAGTTTGGAGAGAAAATGGATTATTGGAGAGTTATCCCCTCACTCTATACTTTATTTATAGAGATGTATTAGTTACAAGTTAGTCTCACAAGCAATGTGGGACTAAACTAATACTCTCTTCTACTAACACTCCCCCTCAAGCTGGAGCATATATATCATGCATGCCCAACTTGTCACAAATAAAGTCAACCCGTGTTCGACCAAGTGGTTTTGTAAGAATGTCTGCTAACTGATCTACTGTCGATACATGTTTTATCGTGATGATTTTATCCTCGAGCTTCTTGCGGACTACATGACAGTCGACTTCAATGTGCTTAGTTCTTTCATGAAACACAGGATTCTCATCAATATGAATTGCTGCTTTATTGTCGTCATATAGATCCATGGGACATTCTGGAAGGAGACCAATTTCTGTCAATAGGTCTCTGATCCAAACAATCTCTAGTGTCACATTTACCATAGCTCTGTATTCTAATTCTGCACTGGATCGAGATACAACACTTTGCTTCTTATTTTTCCATAACACTAGATTTCCTCCGAGAAAGACACAATATCCAGAAGTTGATTTCCTATCAAAAGGACATCCAGCCTAATCTGCATCAGAGAAGTCTACAACTCTGGTGTGTCCTTGATCTGAGTAGAGAATTCCTCGTCGTGGAGCCTTCTTCAAGTATCTCAAAATTCTCATTACTGTATCCAAGTGAGTAGTTCTTGGTGCGGACAAGAATTGACTCACAATACTGACTGCGAATATGATGTCAGGTCTGATCACCGTCAGATAATTCAATTTCTCCACCAATCTTCTATATGTCCAATATCTTCAAGAAGCTCCCCCTGATCTGATAGTAGTTTTGAGTTCACATACATTGGAGAATCACTGTTTCTACATCCTAACATCCCAGTTTCTGAAAGCATATTCAGGATGTACTTTCTTTGTGACAAAAAATACCCTTCGTTGACTTTGCAACTTCAATGCCTTGGAAGTATTCTAGGGAACCAAGATCTTCGGTTTGGAAATGTGTCTGTAAATGCTTCTTTAGGCTGTCAATACCAGAAGCATCATCCCCTGTAATTACAATGTCATCTATATATACAACAAGCAGAATTCGTTTCCCATTCTAAAAAATCACTAGAAGACATAGTGATCTTTCTGTGCACGACAGAGCCCAAATTCCTAAATAACCGATGTAAAACGTCCAAACCAGGCTCTCAAAGATTGCTTCAGACCATAAAGTAATTTCTTCAGCCTACACACCTTCACATTCTCCCATTGAGCAACAAAACCTGGTGGTTGCTCCATGTAAACCTCCTCATCTAGAATACCATTAAAAAACACATTCTTGATGTCCAACTGATGAAGTGGTCAGTGATTTGTCGCTGCTAATGAGATAAAAATCCAAACATATGTTATTTTTGTCACTGGAGAGAATGTATCTAAGTAATGTAAGCCATACACCTGCGAATAGCCTTTAACAACCAATCGGGCTTTCAGGCGTGCCAAAGTTCCATCGGGATTCAATTTGATAGTGTACACCCACTTACA